GCGGACGGAGCCTGCTTGGGATTCTCTCTCTCTCACTCTCTCTCTGCCCTCCCCCACTCATGCTCGTCCTCTCTCTCTCTCTCTCAAAATAAATAACTAAACTTAAAAAAAGTGAAGAAAAAAAGAAGGTGCCTGTTCCAAAGGAGGGTCTCCCACTGGAGATGGGGGCGGTGGTGACCCCTTCCATTCACACCAACCTTTCATAAGCAGAGAGCGTCCCACAAATCCGTCCCACCTGAACCAGCCACAAGAGCAGGTATGGCCTCAGAAACGCCAGTGACATAAGCGAAAAATCACTCCTCTACCCCCCTCCCCCAAGGAAACAAGAGGCACAGAGCCCACCCTCCAGGTCACCTTCGAAAGGAAGGTCACGAGCGGCGGGAGTGGGGGGCGGCCACCTGGGGGTGTGGTCAGACCCACAGCTGGGATCGAGGCTGAAAAGCACTCGACCGATTCAGTCCTGCGTGTGCCAGGCACTGTCTTAGGCACCAGGGCCGCCAAACTAGACGGACAGAGCCCCTGCCCTCATGGAGACAGACAGACATCAGCAGGCAAGCACGGAATATGAGCCGACTGGGTCAAAGGCGCTACCTAACTCTTCCGTTGTTGGTAAAGAGGTTGGCTAGCTCATTCGTTCGTTCATTCATTCATTCGGCAAGTTCCCACGTAGGCCCCCTGTGCTAGGCGGGCAGGGGACCGGACAGTGGCGAGCGAGGTCTCTGCCCTGGAGGGTGTCACGGCGACTCCCGCCACATCCCTCAAGACCCCACAGCGCCCCCTGGGTTCCTCACACGCCCCCGAGACAGGCCCCGAGCATGGAGACAAGTCCCAGCTCCGTATCACCAGCTCCCTCAATGACGCAGGGTGAACCATTCCTCCTGCTCCACGGCCTGAGTTGCTTGCAAAACGGAAGGGGGCGGGCGCGGGCTTCCTCCAAGTATCAAGGGATAAATTAGGAACACGGAGCAAACCCGCCGGGTACAAAATGCCCCACCAATGGTGTGCTCTGGAGCCCCAAGACTTTACAAAGGGGCTCGTGGCTCTCCAGGACCTTCCAAGACCTCCCAGTCCAACAAGGGAGCAGGGACACCCAGGTCTGTAAAGGGCAGGGGGAGGACAGGTGAGAGGACGCTAAAGCCTCATGGGAGGAGGGAGGGAGGAAGGGAGGGAGGAGGTATCGCAGAGGGGCCCGCAAGAGAGAGGTGCACCCAACGCGCGGAGAGAGACAACAATGGTTAATTATCCCCCTCCAGTCTGTCTTGTTTCTGCCTAAACAATGGCTGGCACATAGTGGGCGCTCAGTAAATATTTGCAGAAGGAAGTTTCTGCTAGGAAAACCCGAGAGGGAGGCAGAGAGACCAAAGCGGGGGGTGGGAGGTGCCCAGAAACTGAGACACCATCCTCCCGGGAGGTCTGGGGCTTGGAGGCTTGGGGACAGGCTTCCCACCTGAGCCCAGCTGCCCAAGCAACCACAGGACCACCAGGTATGGACTCGGGAGCTCTCTCCAAACGGGCCATCCCATCTCCCACCACCAGGCTGGACAGTGACTTAAAGCCCTTCGAGAGGTGGCCCTGTCAATGTCACCACCGCACCCAAACCACATCGGGCACACTGGGGACCCGAGGGAGCCCACACCTCAGAGTCACGTAAAACCCATCACCGCCTGGCACCCTGATCCAAGTACCCCTCTGCCCCTTTCCACCTCTGGGCTCGCCTCTCCGAGCTCCAGGCGGACACGGGAAGGCCTTCTCCCCGCTCCACGCGAGCCACGCAGGCTGGGTGGCTTCACTGAGCCTCCAGCCCAAGATGGTCTCCACCTCCTCCTTTACTCGATTCAGTGGGGTCCCAAGGAGGGGGTGGAGCAGGAGGGCCCCCAGGACCGACCTCATCCCTCCTGCCCATCTCTCCTCCTGTCCTTGTAACTTCAAGGCTCCAGATGGGGGGCAGGGGGGTAAGCGCGCCAGGTGGAGCCTTGATCTGGTGGGGCGGGGCGTGTTCACGGGCAAGGTGAACACCACGCGGCTGCGGTGGTTCCCAAGCCCACGCCCCCTCGCGCCGCCCCTCGGCTCCCACCTCTCTGGTCCCTACCTGCTCATTGGAGCTTGCTTCAGGACAGCCCTCCCCAAGGCGGGGGTCCTGGGCCAGGGGTCCCTCCTGTTGGCTTTCCCTGCACCGGTCACACTGTGTTGTAACGCCAGCTCAAGTGACCAGGGACGGCCAATCCTCATGGGCGGAGGCCTGACCCGCCCGGCTGCGTCCAGAGCCTGGCAGAGGCACCGAGCTGGGTGAGCCACCCCAACCGCTGGACGCGCAGGGGAACGGTTCTCAGCCCTGGAGGCAGCGGCCACACTATCTCCGTGTAGTCTTTGGGGCGATTCTGCAAGGTGAGTCTGGTGCCCGTTTTTACAGATGTGGAAACTGAGGCTCTAGGAAGCCGATCTGTCTGGGGTCCAGGTCAGAAGCCAGAATTTGAAACTCAGAAGGTCTTCCCCGGACGCGGGGAGCCTGAGAGCGGAGGTCGGAAGGGTGGGGCCCCGGCACCGAGGAACAGGGCAGGAGCTCAGCGTGGGCCACAGGTGCAGGACTCTGCCCTCCGTCCCGCCTCCTGTCCCCACGGCAGCCTGGAGGTGCCGCCTACGCTTCAGGCAGCGCGGGCTGGGAGGGACCGGAGTGGAGGCGACTAAGCCACTGCTCTGCACGGCCCCCGGGTGCCCACGCCCAGCCTCACCCCTTACCCGCTGTCAGCCCAGGCGCACAGCCCCTCCCTCACCAGACCACAGGAAACACCATCCCTCCCCGTGCCGCAGATTCCCAGAACCTGCCCGGAAAGGGAGTGAGTGCAGCGGCTTCCTGTGGTCCCCACCTGGCTGTCAGGGGCCGAGACCGTCCACCCCGCTTCCCCTGGCTCCCATGGGACGCCCGAGTCAGACCGTCTCACCCAGCCTGGGCTCTCCAGGGCAGGCCCGGGGCACTGGGAAGTTCCAGAATAGCACGGGCTTAAAAACCGAACAAGGGCAAGTACACGGGGTCGGGACTCCCCTTAGGCCTTGGCCTGTGTCCTTGTTTCCCGTCCGCATGCTCCGCGGCCAGGACACAGGGGACAGCGCCTGGCACACACGGGCCTGTGGCAAACACGTGGGGTGAATTAGAAGGGAGGAGGGTCAGGGAAGAATTAAAAGCACCCATGCACGAAGCCTGTGAACTTCAGGGGCTCAAAAAAAAAAATTGGTCCCCTCGACACAGGAAATCAGTTGCATATGGCTTTGAAACTGTCTTTTCCCACACGGTGACCTGAAGATCTCCACCTCGTGCGCGCACACACACACACACACACACACACACACACACCCTCTACCCCTCCACCCCTTGCCCTGGGAAGGCAAGGAGTTTCGATTCTGGCTTCCAACCTGGATCCCAGACAAATTACTTGGCCTCTTTGAGCCACATCTATAAAAATAGAACAGAGCTATAAAAATAAGTTCTCAGATACCTCAACTAAAAATCCCAGAATCGTTGATTTTGAGGATATCTATTAAGGGCTTACGACACACTGGGTGCCATCTGCCCTCCTGGTGGTTTCGTATACGGACGGCCTCTTCCACCAGTGACAGATCTCTTCCCTTTTTCCTTCCTTCTCTCTCTCTCCAGTCCTTACACGTTCTAAGGTTCGGTTTCAACATCACCTCCTCCAGGAAGCCTTCCTGGACTCGCCTGCTGACAGTTAACTCTGAGCCCCATCTTAGTACTCCAGAAGTCTGCTCACCTCTCATTGTCTTTATTACCCTCTGCCTAACATGATATTGTTTGGGAGTTTTCCGTACATTTGCCCTCCTCCCTTCCAAAGAGCACACAAGGCAAGTTCTCAAAGGCCAGGACTAAAGATGATAAAAATCCAAGCCACGTTTCCTGGGAGCAGGAAGGCACATCGAAAGTAAGCCCCCCCCCCCC